TTTGCAAAAAAACAATAATCTTTTGCTTTCGACATTATATCGTATCAAAACCAAATATGTTGTTCAATCTTTTGTAGAAATGTTTTATCGTTGAAAACAAATTACTGTGTATCTGAACGAAAGATATCAATCGACAATCATTTTCTCATTCGTTAAAATCGAAATATATTCTATCCATCGGTCATAATTAAGAAAGATCATTCGCCTACTCAAACTGCATCAAAGTATATCAATCAATGATTTTGTTTTTCATATACATGTATCATAATCATTAGAAATTTCTCACATGATATTTTCAATATATGAATTTCGATTAAGTCAATCTTTCAAGAATAGATAAATAAATAAAAACATGAATTTCATCATTCTCCTATTCAACAATCTTTTTTTTTTCTTATATTTACAAACGAAAGAAACTAATCATAACAAAGAACGAACTAGACATTCATACGTTGACGACGTGTAAATTCAAGATTTTTTGCCTGATTCCAATAGGATTCTGTTAAAGCCTTTTCACCATAAGATAAAGTTTCTAATCTAAAAAACAAAAATAAAGCAACAAACAATTAAATACAAAAATCATTTATTATATTTCTTTTTTTTTGTTGTATTCTTACCTAGCAAGCACAAGTAAAGTATGAAAATCATCAAGATTTGTTAATATTTTTTGTTTACGCATATTAACAAAATCTTCTTGTATACATGTATTAATATCTGATGAAACATTATTTATTGTTTGATCAAATTCAAGTTGTTGTCCAACATATGTTAAATAACAACGTATATTATCAATTTGTTCTTTTGTTATATTTGGAAATATAATTTGATTTACTTCTTGTTCAGATTGATAACGTATATAAACATCACATGGTAATATAGATTTAGTTGATGAAATAATTAAACAACGTACATCACATTCATAATCAAGTTGATAAACATGAAATTCATATTTAAGTGTTTGTTGATGAAGAAGATCTTGAAGTAATTTTATATTATTAAGACCTAAAGAAAAACAAATAAAGCTATTAGCGCAATTCCTACAGGATTAAAATGTAAAACACGACGTAGCTGTTGTTGCTAATTACAGAAAAATTGTTTTATTCTGTCTATCTTGGGACATATTTCTTCACCTAAATCCTTCAGAAATATAGTAAAGAAGTAATTAATACATTGTAACAAACCGTTATTGATATACGAGCTTTGATTTTATATCAACAATCGCTATCACGGTCTGTAATGGTTTCTAGCGATCGTCGGTTATGGTCTGTGGGAGGTGCATGCAAATCTCTCTCCTTTATACTTCAATATTCGTTTAAAATCGTGTTTCACAAAATAATTAGTTTGCTTTTTTCTTTCCTTTTCCTACCAAGTGTTGTTAATTGTCCACATTCCATTTTTGTTTCATCAATAAGTAAATGTGAATTTAATGGTAATTGAAGTGGTGTTTGTGTTAATTGATTTTCATTATCATCTTCTTTTGTTACATTTTTATTTGGCATTAATTGTATTGTATTTAATGTATTTACTGTTATTGATATACGTGAATAAAGTGGTAAAATTGTTTGAAGTAATTGTTCAAGTGCATTGAATTGTTCAGTTGATATATGTGATAGATTTAATGATAATTTACCATATGCTAATGATGGTTGTCGAACATATATACGTGATATTAAATGTAATAATAAATATTCACAAAGAAGTTTATCATTTGGAAAGATACATTCGAATAATGAAAGAATATATTGACGAGATATTGAAACTAAAAGAAAAAAAGAAGTTTTTTGTTTTTGTTTTTGTTTTTTAATTAAATAAATCAAATTAATTAATAATACTTTGATTAAATTCAATATTTGGTAGATGATATAATAATGGATTGATATGAGATAATTTTTTATATTGAATACAATGAATAGTTTTAATTTTTGGAAGTTGATCTTGATCCATTTCATTACTAATAAAAGAAAATAAATAACATTTTTAGAAGGGAAAAACAACACAAGTAGACATTACGAAAATTAGTCGCAGTATAGAATCGATCTCATATTTGATGGGTATTTTTTTTTCACTTATCATTAGAGATGTAAGCCAATCGACAGACTTGTCGCGACACAAACGAAGATATTTGACTTTTTTTTAAATTTCTTACGTTCCAAATTAGTTTTTGTAAATGTTACAGTCGGTTTCTTTTTGTGAATAAATTCTCTATCATCGTTTTCTCTCTTTTTTTCATTTCAAAATTTCAGCTACCACCACCGATCAATGCATCCGGTTTACACTTCTATTTATCATACACTTAAATTTTTACACATATGATTTGTAACTATTCGACAGTTGGATTTGTTCTCTCGTTAAGCTTTCCTTGAAAAATATGCCGCATTGTAACTGTTTTCTTCTTGTTTTCAAATAAACAGGCATATTCTATTCTTCAGCAGATTATTCACACTAATCAAAAAAAAAAAAACTTTGAATGATGAAATAGTTAAGAAATTTTCTGTTTGTTGTAAAACTAATTATTAATAATATCGTCTTTGAACATTAGTCGATGATTAACTTACACTGATTGAATACTATCAGCTTTGATAACAGAATGATCATAATAAATTCCAATAAATTCAACCATTGTATTGAGTAAGATTTCTTCAGTAGTATCGTATACCTATTAAGAGAAAATTTCTCTAGAAAATATTTCGAATTCTTTTTGTTTGTATAAATTACTTTAACCATATAATTAGATTTTGAAGTTGTTTTCACCGGTTCGGCTTTTACTATTGCCTCATTATTATCATTATTTGTTTCCATAGATGTTGTTGTTTTTAACCGTTTAAGAGGTGATAATAATTGTTGAATATTATCTTGATCATTAATTGGTCTAATCAGTGAAAATTATTTTTTTTTTAAATAAATAAATGATTAATCAAAAAAAATTTTTTTACCGTTTTTGCATTGTAAATTGTTCACCAAAATGAAGTCGATAATTATCTTTAACCCATTGAGTTTCATTTGGAATAGGAATACATGAAAAGCATTGACGTGAACGAAAATTTTCTCTTGGTGGTTCTTGTTCAATAAGAGTATATCCAGGCTAAAGAGAAAAAGAAAACAAAATTAAAACTGATCAATGAAATTGAAAAAAAAAAATTTCTACTTACTGGACATACAAATAAATCCATATATTTAGCCGATTTTTCAATTTCAACTTGATGATGATCATTCGGTCGAACTTTATATTGAGCTAAAATCAACGAAGAATATTATGAGAATAGAAAGCTTATCAGAGCAGCCTCATTGGGACTAAAATAGGAAATAGATGCGTGTAGGGTAAGACTTTTTCGTATCCTATATCCTACCCTACCTTAAGATTTCCAGGTTTTGGCACATGTTAACATGAAGTTTTCTTCGTTATGTTTCAGCATATTTTATTGATTTCCAACGACAATTAAATGGAAAATTATCACATATTTGAAAAATTTTGTCAGAATAAAATGTCTTTAACAATGTTGTCGCTCAATTCTATCTTCTCTCTTCCAAAATTCTTCCGCTTGCAGTGAAAATATATTCACTTGTGGCTGAAATTGCCAAAACTTCCAATAGCTTTTTTCCAATGGACTAAGTTGTGGATAGTTCAATGACCATTTGTCCCATCAATTCAATACTGATTCTTCTTTACCAAAACTTAGTTTCACTTTAACATAACGACCGACTTCTTCTAAACTAGAAAGATGTCAAGAGTGTCTTCGAAGTTGCTTGTTAAAAAAACTCTTAGGAATATGAACAACATGTGAATTCTACCCTAAACATTTTTTGTACCACTCTTACCCTACCATACCCTGCAGGATTCTGATACGGAAATCGCATATGTTCTTTAGCCTTACTATACTTAAAAAAAAAGATCTCTAAAACACTATAGTTGTTTTTCACGGATAATCAATCGTCAAGGAAACGATTTATCTTATTTATTTCTGCTTTTTTTTCATCGGCACTTTATTTTTTTCTTTACCTTTTTGCTATTCGCTCCTCACTTTTCATTTTCAAATTCCGTTTTTCTTAATTTAACATTATTATTATTTTAATTGTTGATTTAATTAGCAAATAAGTCTGTTGTGTAAATCCGTTATATCTGCAGCAGATTTTCACACACTATTATATACCTTTCTAAGCTCAGAAAAACTGATATTGATAATTTTTCTAAAGTTATAACTTGATAAGTTCACGTTTTTTGTGTTGATCATATGACGACTGTAGCAAATTAATGCATCACTACCTAATTATTATCCTGGAAATCTTGAATATAAATTTTTGGTCTGTGCAAAATCAAAAAGTACACTATTTCAAATATTCACAAAGAGGATTATCGATGTGCAATAGGATGGTGACAGCTTTCCCTGCCCAAAAATTTCGAATCTTCTACGAAATATTTTAGTCTCGTGGGAAATCATGATGGAAAGTAAATTTTAGTAATTTTATCTCAGCTTCTGACAGATATTCATACGAAGACGCTTTGTCTCAAATAGAATATTACAAAAAGTCAATAATTTCAACATCTTCTGTTCAATCAAACAGATGAACGGAGATACTTTCTGTCGAATTTTCAATTTCTTCCACCCTCAAAAACGATTCTGGAACTCTATTCACCAACATATTCTAACCGTTGAAATTTCGAAGAAGATTTTGAAATGTTCTAGAGTGATCTAAGCCTTGTTATTAATGCCATTCAGTGTCTTTTTTTTCGTTGGCAAGGAACTCTAAAACAGAAGTCTGACGCACATTGTTCTCAGTTGCTATGAGAACATATCTAATAACTACCCATGTATCCAAATTCAACAACAGAATGTGAATATTTCAAACTTATCTCATCGATTAATAACTATACTGATGAACTGTCGCGCCACAAATATAGAAAGATATGTGCCTTTGACAACCCCAATGGAGAATAATCCAATGAACCGTTTAGTTTAATAAGAGATTGAAAGAAAACTGAAAAAATAGCTTTTTGACTGATTCTAGTACGTAGTCTAACAACGTTGTCGAAATTGTTCTTTCAACATTCTCGAATATCACTTCTCTACTTCAATTTTCTACTGATGAAAGAATTTTTTGTCACGTGGTTCAGTAGATAAAGGCATTTTTCTTTCTTTAGATAAAAATGACGCAAACAATTTAGATGCATGCCTACCAATGACCGTTGGTTTTTGTCCTTCCTATTCCTATGTTGAAGGTAGAAGAAGAGCTGCAAAACTTGGACTTAAATTAAATTTTCAAAACTTACTACAATAAATTTCATCGTCAGCCATGTCTTGTACCATAGCTCGATAACGTACAAGACAACCAGATGGTAATAAACATTCATCATCATGATCATTCAATGATGGTATTTCTTTATATAAATCAAGATTATTAATATGTGTTTGAAAATAATTTCGTACGTCATTTTCAAATGTACTTGGTGATTTTTCTGAATAAAATAAAATCTACATATTTTTATAAATATAATATAAAAAAAAAGAATTTTACCATGCAACCGATTAATAATTGTCATCGGATGCGTTATCCAATCTTCGATAAAAGGCATTATCTGTAAAAACTGATAGATAAAGAAAAAAAAGAAAGGAAATTCATTAGTTTAAAGTTCTTGTTTGAGAAACTGAAAAAACAAAAAATTTTTTAACAATAAATGTTTATTAGTTTAAGTTTTTTTTTCAATGTTGTTTAATCTTTGCGTAATGGATGAACATCAGTTTCAATGCCTTTATCCTTTGTTAATGTATGAATAACAACACCATCACCAAGTTCAACATTACGTTCACATGCAGCCATATAAATATCTTTGATCATTGTAACAGTTTCTTCTTTTGTTCGTTTTACGTGACCTGGATTTGATGTATTTTTACCAAGAATCTAAAAATTTTATAGATCAAAACTTACAAAAAGAAACTTCTAAAATAACTTACACGTGCATCAAGAATTGGTAAAATAAGTGGCATAGCACTACCTTCGCATGCATAAAGTTGTTTTGTCATTGAGCCAACAGGATCAAATGCATAAACACAACCTTTACCATCAGTATCCAAACCAGTTATAACCGTATTTGTATAATAAGGAAAAAATCGACGACCATACATCATAATAGAAATCATTTGAGCCAAAGCAGGAGTTGATATTGGTTTACTATGAGTATATTCATATGTCTAAAAAAGTTCGTATTTTTTTTTATCAAAAACTTATTCTTTCCTACAAACTAACCTTAATACGACCTTCAAGTGTTTTCTTAAGTGTAAGTACATCACCAAGAAAACCTGTCGATAAAAGTAACGAATTGTTATGCCTAAAAACAAAAAGTTATTAGCTCAATTTCTACAGTATTAAAACGTGAAACATGATGAAGTTACTCTTGCTAATCACAGCGAGATTGTTTTATTCTATCTAATTTGGGACAAATTTCTTCATCAACCTTTTACTTAAATCCTCCAGAAAAATGCAATAAGTAGTTCATATATTATAACGAGACATTTTTGATATACAGTCTACCATCATAGATCAAAAACGTCTGACACATTTGCGGAGCACAGTGTGCATTTTTCACATGGCAGACGGACATGTGACTTCCTTACTCGGAAACAGATGTCTTTGCTCAGAAATGATTGGATATGACACAGAAAAGCATTTTTAAGGAAAGAAAAAACATTTTTTGCGAAAAAAAGTTTTTCGACGAAAAATGTCTGAGGGAGAAGCCATTGTTCTCATTTTTTCGAGAAAATGTTTTTCGTCAAAATTGTTTTGTGTCATATATCATTCAATGCAGATTAATTTATTACTTCCAAATATTCTATTTTTGTCGATTAAATATTTTTTTCCGAAGCTAGAAAAACTAAAAAATTGAGATTTTTTTAGAAACTCACTGTGCAGCCCACGAATATTTGCATTAAAAGCTATTAGAGACAGTAGATAAAAGAACATTCTGGCAAAATTTGAAGGTTGGATTGCTCATTTTACGAGAGTCGCCGTTCAGACGACATTGTAGAAAAAATATATATTACTTTTTTTTTCTCAGAAGTTAAGCGTGTAAATTTTAAAAGTATTTTTTATTATTGTATAGAGCTCAGCTTGAAGATTTTGAAATAACAAAATTATTTATATTTTTAGATAGACTATTATTTTCAAGTATATTTTCCTACATTTAAATTTTAAAATAGCACAATTTTTATTTTTTGACCAAATGTCGGTGTGTGAGGGGTCCGAACTTTAATACTTCTTTTTAGATCGTCTTTCACAAAAAATAAATATTATGAAATATATTTTATTTTTAAGATTGAAATTCATACATTTTATACACATTACTATGTGTACGAGATTGTATTGCATAATTTTCTGTTAAACGTGTATCACTTGCAACAACAACATAATCATCACCGGCAACAGCAACTGTTGTACTATAAAAAAAATAAAACATATCGAATAAAATTTTTATCAATAAAATAAAATTTACCCGGATTGAAATTCATATGGATACCAACCGTGTTCTTTAACCATTTTATATTTTTCCTAATCAATGTCGAAAAAGAATATTTATCTAAAAACAAACGAAAGAAATACAGAAAAGGGATTTTCTTGGAAATAATCGAGTCATTATAAGGATATTTAAAGATAATATATGATTTTAAAAAAGCAAAAAAAAAGTGTTCTTTATAATTTACACAGAACAGGTACATCAATTTTATCATATGATGGAGCAACTGGATAACATGATAATTTACTTTTCCATATAGGTATATTATCAATCCATTCTACCTATTAGAAATAGAGAAAAATAAATTTTTGTTTTCTTTGTTTTTTTTTTTTATTATAATTTTACTTTGGGTAATTTAATTTCTTTTGTAGATAAATTTTGCTCGGTTTCTTGTAAATGTTTGTCAATTAAATCATCAATAATAACAGGTTGTTCAGTTAATTTTATCGCTTCATGATCAATATCTGCAGTTATAGAAGTCTCTGCTTGAATGCGTTCTTCACCATCATTTAAAAGTAATTCTTTATCAATCATAGTATTTAATTCATCATTCTTTTCTTCAGCAATTATTTCAGCAATTGGTTTTTTAAATGCTAACAATGATGGATTAACATGCAATGCTAATTTACGTCGATAAATTGAATGTGGTGATATATAATGATCATAAAAACGAAGTAAATCATTACGTTCAAAATTTTTGACTATTTCAACTTCTAGTTGAGCTAAAACAAAAGAAAAAAAAAATAAAAGTTTTATTTTATGAATATTTTTATGTTCGATTTTGTTGTTTTTTTTTCATTCTTACGTCGATTGAAACAAAATTGATGATTTGTTATTTCATTCCAAAATTTATTTCCTTGACTCTGCATCTTTTTTGGTACTTCTACCTTTTTAACCATAAAACCTTCACGTTGTACTTTAAATAATTCATCAGGCATTTTATGTATATACTCCTATTGAAAAAAAAAACCAAATTATTTTAATTGTTTTCGCTCTCTCTATTCAAGTATTTATCAAAAGTTTTTTGAGAATAATAAAAAGAAAAATTTCGAAAGAATCATTCAATATAAACAGGATTCCATTACATATAGAAAAAATCATGAATATGCAATAGTGATTAGTAAGATTAAGTTTCTGTAGCTTTAAGAAAAATTTTCCTCAAACAAGATAGAGTTTAGTACTAGTCTCTATCATCAAGACCAAGATCAAAATTTAAAGATTTGGACTATGAGAAAGAAAATTTATTGGAACTAAAACTAAAGATTATAATTCAATACTCTATGGTGTTAAGCGAATGGTTTTCTAAATTGCATCATTTAGCAGAGAAGACAAAAAAAGATTTTTTTTGTTGTTTTTTTTAGATATTGTACAAATAAATTCCGGAATAGTTATGTAGATCCAAATGAGGTATGAATACTCTGAAAAGAGTTCGTGCCTTTAACGAATGCCGTGGTAGCGCAGAAATGCTGATTTTCGAATTTCGGCTTGAAAATCAGTTTTTCTGTTACCATGGCATTCATTTAAAAAAATAACGTAAAAGTGAAGTATCTCCGCAGCAATCAGCTAAGAGCACAAACTCTTTTCAGATTATTCATAACTCATTTAAGTTTACATAATACACATATTCAGCTGAAGGACTTACTTCAATAGATATGAACAAGCTGGTCATGGTGTCGAGACTAAAAATGACTGATCTATGTATTCATACTATGTAGTAATATATGTGAACTAGAAGAGATAGTACAGATGTTTTCCCATTTTTCAATATAAGTAACTTTCCTAATGTTTTATTTCTGAATTTCTCATACATCACATGTGAAATATGTTTAATTTCTTATTGATCAAATAAATTAAAAACAAATAAAAAAGAATTTTTCTATATCATAAACTGATCTCTTCTTTGAGACTGAGACGATGTTCTATTGAATTTTATTGTTGTTTCTTTTTTCTTTTCATACATACTCTCATTGAGTCAATAAATAATTCAATACGTTGATTAACATAATCAAGTTCTCGAGCAGATTGAACAATAACTCTAAAACCTTGTACACCACGTGAACGACGTGCACCAGCACTAACAATATAACCTAATTGTTCCTTGGTTCGTAATTGATTAAAACAAGGTTCATCAACAAGATGACAAAATAATTCAAGTAAAGCATTATTTTCAAGTGTTTGTTGAAAACATTGTAAATAAATTTCAATAGCATGTAATTGATGTGCATCATTCAACATTGTATATGCATAATTACAGCCTTAAGGAAAAGAAAACAAAAAAAAGAATCAAGAAAATATTTATTTAAAATTTATAAGTAAAAAACAAAACAAAAGTCAAACTAACCTTCAGGTAATATTAATTCACGTTGATTAAACCACATACTAGGAAAAAGTGGTTGATAAAAACGTTTTTCTTGAAATTTTTGTTCAACTAAAGTCATATATTCAATGGCTTGCTATGAAAATGAAATTATATTAATATTAAAACAAAATAAGAAATTTATTTCTTCTTACATTTTGTGTTAAATTTCCATACATTAATGAATCAGTATAAAAACGATTTAACATTCGAGGAATAAATGATTCTACATCATACATTGTAATACCTTAAAGCAAAAAAAAACATTTCTTAATCTAATATCTTCTGTTTTTTTGAAAATTTACCATCAATACAACTAAGTAATTCATCTTTATTCCATTGATGATCAGCTGTTAAATATGTTACACCAAAATGTGCCATTTGATAAGGAACATCACGACGAAAATTTTGTAATGCTCGTTTAACCTATAGAATATATTTTCAAGAATTGGAATTGATTTAAATTCAAGTACTTTTTCTTTAATATTTTCAAATCGTTGAGCATCTAATTTAATATTAACCATACGATCAATAATTGTATCAAGTAATTGTTTTATTTTATGATTATATCCATATATGGATAACTACAATAAAAAATAATATATTTTCTTTTTTTTTTCCTCATTCAAAATTAATATTAAATTACCTGAAAGCCACAATTTACAGCAGATAATTCATGTTGTAAACCTCCAAGTTGTGCTGGATAAAC